AAGTCAATTTAAGGGGGGGCGGGGGGGAAGGAAAGTTGACTGCAACATGGGTGGTTGCTGACATTCTAGGTATCTGGCTGTAGAATGCTTCATCATCCAGTCTGACAAGCCACTATATTTTTAGCTCTGTACCACACTCTGGTTTCATGAAGTCATGGAGGAATGCCATGTGCACAGCTGAGGCACTGCATCCATACCTCAGTCACTTGTAGGCTGCAGGATCGCCCCACATTTGTGTTTGTACCAAAACAGCACAGATTATTCAGGGACTAAAAAAAAGCTTAGGCCCTTTTCTGCCCTCTTTAGCTCTTCTATCCTAGCCCCCTGACAGCAAGCATGCCTGCTTTGTGCATCTAGAAGAGAAGGCCCAAAAGGCCAGTCTCGCCCAGAGGCAAGAAGAGGCAGGTACTACTGACTGAATTGCTGTTGGACCTAAAGTGGTGTACTAATCTTCATAGGTCAGGAGATTTTAACAGGGTGTATGTCCTTTTGAAAGGTCAGATACATTTTAAACATTTCATTGCACCTTGTTTTCGGGTGTTGATGTGCTTTTTCTTTGACCTGCCTATGGTATTACGTACATTTTCTGGCATGGTGAAGCAGTGTCCTAATGTCCGAGGTTTGAAAATGTCTTAAATGAACAAGTAGTCACTGCTCTGAGCTGCTGTTTTCTGCAAAAAATTGTAATAACAAGCCAGTTGAAACCTTTTTAATGGCATAAATTAGGATGATACTTTACAGACTGAACAAAATTGAATATAAGAACTTAGACTAAGTTATAGAAGACCAAGGTCAAAATGCAAGACAAGTCACATGAAGCAGGTTATCAGCAGAGCACTAGTAAGGCTGAATTAGGAAAGAATCCTGAGAACAGAATTGTTGAAAGGATAAAACAGCAGTGCGGAAGAATGATGTTTACATAGGTGGGCTTCAGTGCCTATGAACCAGATGAGCATGTGCAAGATGTCCACTCAGTTAGAATAATCTCTAACTGCAAGTTGTACAGAATGAGTAAGTTTTCTTCCTCTTCATGCCTGTTGAAAGAACAGGTGTGCAATAGCTCTGTATTCTGTACTGTGACTTTATATTTTGTCTTTACAGTTACAGTATCAACATGAGGTGTAACATGATTTGATCTACATCAGACGAGTGGCAAGTACTAGTCTCTGTCTTCCTGTGTTAGAGGAAGTGGTTACACAAGTGATCTGTAACTCTTACAGTAATTGCCCCACATTCCAGTGCTTCTTTACCCATTTCCCTTACATACTAATTACACATTGAAACCTTTAGCAGCAGGGAGAAAACACGAAGTGTACCTAACGGTGAGGGAGGGTACAGAAGCAGTTACTGTCGCTGCTGACATGCACAAAGCTGGAACAGTTTTAAGAAAAGCTTTAAAATCAGTACTAACACAAAATTTTAATTTGTGTTTTATACTTCATTGTCTTTTCAACAGTTGTAATAAATTCTGCTATTTCAGGTCTAACTGGTTTACCTTTTCTCCTACTGCACTGCAGTCTCTGAACTTGAATATGTTTTTAAACCTACCTCTCAGGTAGACAGATGAGGTGAATGCAGTCATTTCTCTACACATTTGGACAAATTCAGAGCTTAAAGTTATGCTTAGTCTATTTCCTGTAGAAGTCACAAGAACGTCAGTATACATTCCACACCAGTCTTCATTCTAAAGGCCTGTATACAATAATGTTACAGCAATATGACAAACAAATCCTTTATTAATGCCATAAAGGTCAGAGACAATCAGGAGAGCTTCCATAAATATCAGTATGGTTGCCTAACACTTTCTGCAATTCACTTGTTTAGTTTTTCCTGGTACTTTAAGAGAAATGTAAGTTTTCATGACAGATACTTCAGGAGCTTCCTGGCTTTTGCACAGAGATCACCACTCTTCCAAACTAGCTATCCTGCTTCTGTAAGGGGAGCATATTTGGGCTTCCCCCTCAGTACTCCGAATGAACTGTTAAGCTGTCTGTTTTTCTTGTGGAAGAGCTAGAAACTTAGTTTTTTTCCAAGGATGTTTCTACTGACAGCATTGCCAAATGCTGCCCACAGTAGCCTTTAAGACGATATGTAACCATCTTGCTGCTACTAGATGTTTACGTATTGTCTCAAGTTGCTTGAATTGGTGTTAACATTTAAAAATAAAGTATATGGTCTTGTTCACTCAATATGCATTGCACTTGGAAGTAAATCCTAGTATATTCAGAAAAAGGTGACTCATCTGGCACATTAGCAGCTTAACATAATAAATATGAAAGATTTGTGATGTTAGAGCACAGTAATGAAAACAAGTGAGTGCTCAGTTAGGAAGCCATCTGTGCTCAAAATGTATATACTTTGTACTTGTGTGTTGTTAAACAATGAAATTCCCTAGACAAGATTTTATAAGCAGCAAGCTATGAGATATTATGATCCCTCCAATTTGTGTCTGCTTTTGTTTAAGAAAAATGTAAAATATATATTTGAGTTAACTTTTATTCATTCCATTCAGCCTGGGTGATGCTTACTTTGTAGCCGGAAAATAGACCCCAAGTTCCCTCTAATTTCATTGATATAGATCACTTTACTACTAGTTGCTGTTATCTAGCTGTAGCTACTTGAGTAGCTGACATTAAAGACAGTTAGAAATACCTAAGTAAAACCATGTCTTTAAAAAGAATCCCAAAATTATAAAGTTACATTGAGTTGTTAATGTTACGGTGCTTCTTACCACACAGAATTTCAGGTTTGCTTCTTTTACCAATGCTGTCTCTAGCGATGCATTCATTGCCATTCTGATCCTTCTGACCCTTCTTTTGTCTCTGTACCTGGAAGGGTCATTGCTACTACATGTTTTACATTGATGTTTTTAAAAAGTGAAAAGTTTCAAGCCTATTACTCTTATAACTACAATGATAGTTGGAATTCAAATTATGTAGAGTTTAATAACAGCTGAGACAGAATAAACTAGTATTTCTGTATAGAAGCATGTAGGTAGTTATCACTTGGATTACAGAGGTTAACATTTTAAATCCTAGCTATGTTACAGTAGAATAAAATAGCAGACAAATCTCCACCCAACTACCTCCTATGGTATATGCAGGAGAACTTAAGATACATACTTACATATATTAAGGCAGTAATCTTTTGCTCTGGAGTAGAGCTTTTAAAGGAATTGCTAGGAAGCTGTGCCTAGACACAGCAAATAAATGCTCTACAAAGGCACCTGGTTTCCTTTATAAGGGGCACATGACTGTGATGGTGGGAAAGGCTGTAATTGTCTTAGTGCATACCTAAGCCTATATGATAATGGGTATGGTGCAAAACCCCCTTTCTTCCTGTAGGAAAGAACAGTTGTTTTAAGCTTGCGAAGGTTTGTATTAGTATGTATATGTTTGTAGGTAAAGCGTTTCTGTTAGGGGAAACACTGGGGTTAAAGTTGCCCTAGGTAAATGTTACATTAGGTAGATGCTGAGTTAAAGCTTGTATGATTGTTATACCTGTTGTGGTTTATAGTGCGACTATTTTTGAGGCTTTTCTGCTGTGATATGTGTGTGTGCGGTTGAAGTGTTTTAAGAGGTCATTTCTATAAGTGGAATAAAGCTAAGGAAATTATTTTTCTATATAATCAGAGAGCTATTTAAATGACCTATTTTCTAGTAGCTAACTGTGGTACAAGAGGCACTTTGCACATACGCAGCACTTCAGAAGTCATTCAAAGTAAAAAGGAAATATATTGTTTGAGAATTATTTATAATAAGACTATTATATATAAGCAACACTTAAATCATCTTAATATTCGATGGAAAAGGAACACAAAAGGTATTTGCTAGAGTTTTATCTCATACTCTCCAAATAAATTCTGCTTTGGAGGGTGTAATACACTAGCTGTTCTCATAGACTTCTAAACTATAAGCTTAAGTTCCAAGAACTTTAATTTAGCATAACTGTTTTCTTTCCACCATTTTAATTAGCTGTCTGATAGTACTGAAGTCTGTTTTATATACATATCAATTCAGTAAACACAGAAATCTGTGGTGTTATATTTTTATATAAAATATGAAAGAAAGCTTTGAGTTAATGCATCTGTAACTCAGCTCTCTGTATTGCAGAACATATGTTGTTCTTTTTTAATTAAACAAAACATAATATGCAAAAGAACACAGTCTATTGGATGGTACCAAAAGAATAACACGTAATTAAAGTAATACCAAAAATATTCACAGTAACTGTGGACCTTGAGGCCCATAGGAAGAGGCAACTGCTGAAAAGTGAATATAGTAAGTTTAAGGCTGAAGAGAGAAATGTTGGAATCCTCCCATACGCCTGCATTTTGAACTAGAATTCAATCAGATACTTTTTATGCACAGTAGTATGGCTAGGGTTTTTAATTAATTTTTAAATTAATTAATTTATTAATGTATATAATGGAATAATTTGCTTTATGCAAATTCTGAGCTGTCAAAGTAGTAGCAACTCATGGAAAGCTCAGTTTCACTGCAGAATTCCTGTGAAATTCTGCCAGCCCGTTCTCCTGCTTTTTCGGCTACTAGCGTGGCTCTTCAGGGGCTGAGCATCTGAAGCCCCTTTCCCAGATGCCTTTCTTCCTGCATGTCCTATTGAAGTTGATTCTCAACTGCCTGAAAGCCTAGGGCTTCTGGTTTGCAGATCCTAGCTCCTTGCCCTTATGATAAGCTTGAATTTTCCTAGATATCCAGGCTTTGGTGAAGCCTGCCCAGTAGAGCGTTCTTGAGCCAAGGACCAAGGGTGTCCAGGTATTGTGGCCTCAAGGAATTACCTGGTTGTGAAGGTTCATTGCATTTTTTGACTTTGTTTTGTTTTGTTAAAATATTATAGTTCTACATTAATCCTTTTGCTGCATACTACTACTGACCAACTTTGCATTCTTGCTTAGGCTGACCTAATATATTTATGTGTACAGAGGGCGAAAGGCTAAGGGATTTCTCTTTCTGTTGGTACCACAAAGGATTCAGTAGTTGTTCCTGAGGTACAAGACCATTTGGTCAGTTTAGGTTTGTTGGAACAGTCCAGATCTCATTCCAGAGAAACTGACTAAAAGTTTGTGATTTTTTTTTCATTTCTGAAAATGGTGGGGTTTTTCTGAGGACTGGTTGTTGTTTTTGTCATATGGCTACCTCCCATCACAGGTAGAGAAGTGTGGATGTTAAATTATACATTGAATTGGACGTAGAAACAAAATCAAGGATAGATGTTTTGGTTAGTTGTCATATCTGGTTTTCCTTTGCCTAGCTGAGGTTTTCTTGGACTAGAATTCTGTAATTAAATATGCTGATGAGTGGCACCAAATAGCGCGTAGGTCTAATGTTGCGCGCTCGTAATATTAGATCACTTTTTCCATTAATAGGCTGTGTCCTTTTGTTTTTAAGGTAGCATGTATTTTGTGTATTTAAATAGTCAGATGTAAGTCATTTGGTAAAGGCAGCTGTACCCTGGTGCACTGAACATGTGTGGGTCGTGTGCTTGGACTGACCGTATTGTTCCACTGGATTGTTTCCATTTGCAGTTTTCCTCATCCTGCATGTTAGGTGTTCATTTATGATGTCTGTGGCTTAGCCTGTAATTCAGCCATTAAATGCTGACTGCATTTTATATACTGTCTTATCTTTCACTGCCAAAAGGGCTTCTACACTACAACAAAGATTAAAGAAGCGTGACATATGAAAGTTTTTAGAAAAGGAAACCTTTTTTTCCCCATCCTGATTCTCTGTGTTGTTATTAAGCAAACTTCTTTGTTTAATGTCTATTTTTTTTTCCCCAAAAATGTTCTTCTTTCTATTCTGGTTCAGTTACAATATCTTTGAAATGTAAAGTTCTCATTTTAAAGGATTAAGATGTGTGATGAAACTCCAGAGAGAGCAGAATTTATTTTCTATATATACAATTAATTTGTCTATTAAACTTTTTGTATTTTTAGATTGAAGCAGGTACGAAACTTCTAGCTTCTTTTAACATTCTCACTGCAAATGCAAAACATCAGGCTTGAAATATGTTTCAAGGCTATACTTTTACTCTTGTTATTAGTCCTTGACAAAATTATATATGACTTGCAGTTGTTGAAAACTTTCTGGTATATACTATACAATGATTGGAAAAGTACAAGGTACCAGATAATGTACAAAGATTTTCAATAAATCACATAAATTATATCAGCAGAGTATTTTATCATCACTCCATTTTTTGCTAAGAGTATGTCCGTGTGGAATGAGAGGTATAGTAGATAACAAATAGCAATATCTTCCTTTAAGTAATTCTGAATCTAGAATGCAAGAAATATCAATAGTTAATACGATGGCATTAGGCACACTGCAAATAGGCACAATAATAGTCAAACAAAAAATTCCTATATTTATCCAAAATAGCACTTATTTTCTGACATTAATTGAATTGAAAATTGCCTTGATTATCTCTAAATCCTCTGTTATCCAAATATACTCAATATCCTATATTCCACTTGGATAATTGAAGTTTGACTTTACACTATTTTTAATGAGGTATAAGATTTAACTCATTCGCCTATAGTGCACATTTTAGGATGGATCAAAGGAAACCAAATTGATGAATGTATAATTAAGATCACATTTATTTCTCTTCATGATTTCCCTGCAAATACCATGCTGTTGATGAAAGCACTTTTATAAGTGGTTGTATGCATCAACACAATTTACCGTAGATAATCCTTCCTTTGAGGGAAAACCTTTAAACTCCTGTGTCTTTTAATACAAAACAGAGTAATGGTAAACTAGCCATGTTTTTTAAGTTCCTTTTTTTCCAGTTCAATCATATTTCTTTATAATAACCTCCACAGGATGGCTTGATAGTAGAAAACATGCATGATCTTCCTTACACGGTGTGTCCTGGGCCTGAAGTAACTGCAGCAATGACAGTCATTAGTGCTGCAGTGAGACAAACCTGTCCCCATCTCGCGCTGGGTGTCCAGATCCTGTGTGCTGCAAATCAACAGGCGATAGCAGTTGCTCTTGCTGCAGGTAATAGAAATGACTCATCAGTTATTACTGTTGTTTGCTATGGCATTTGCTCTCTGCAAATTGTGTATTGTACTAACATAGATACCATGAAAAATGAGACATGAAAAGCTCGCTGTACCCTGAAAAAGCAGAAATTAGATTTTGAGAAAGATGCCTGCTTGATTATAATAGATGATACTTACACACTGCATCAGTTGGAGGCAGCTAAAAATCCCAAGGCCACTGCCACAGCTTTCTAGGTGAAACCTGTCTAAATATAATGATTAGTTTAAACCTACTCATGTCTAAAAGCCACCTTTGGTGTAACTCTATTTACTTCAGTTAAATTATGTTTGAGGATCAATTTAACCCACTGTGGTTAAGCATCCTGTTTCAGCATCTAATTATATGTTGTTGCTACTACTGTTATCCATTAAAACTAAGTTTTCATTGCCTTTTTTAATGAATGGATGGAACAAAGCTTTTTATACAATAGCAAAAAATTGAGTGTACAGCTAGCCAAACAACTTAAAATTAAATTGCATTTGGGGGAATTAAATATAAATTAATCTATCTTTATTGCATGAATCCTAGACTTGCTAACCTTTCTGCTCCTACTGCTTGCTGAAGCAATTTTAGTTTTTCATATGTAACATTCCATGATTTAAAGATGGAGGCTGGTTTAATATGGAAGGCTTGTACTTCCTAAATACTTCATAAATTGAGGGTTAATGTCTGTTTTTGCTCAAATTGCATATGTCATTACAGTAAGCTTGCACATTTTTGAATGTACAGATTTTATAAACAGGCAGAATTTTGTAAGAATGGAAAACTAAAAGATGCTGGTGTTAATTGAAAACCATACTTCAGGTAAAATAATGTAGGCTAACTTATCTGCAGTGATAGTTTTAATTATATTTAATGTGTTCTAAAAGTCTTAAATTCCTTTTTTCTTGGGGGAATTCTTGTTAGTAGAGGTGTTTTGAACTCAGATTTGTTTTGAGTGCTTTAAAATCAGAAGTTGTCATTTTCAAGATATCTAACTACTTGACAAACTGACAAAACCTGATTTTTATTGCTGCAGTAGAATGTATATGAAAACCTAAATAAAAATGCTAACAGAATCCAGTTTTAGTTTTTAGGGATTGTCAGCATGTAGGATACTTGAGGTACATAGCCATTTGCAAAAATATTTACACATCTTATTTTTAAAAGCAATAGTCAAACTGTTAGTGAATTATGCATCCTTTTAGGAGCAAAAATTGATCACTAAATAAAGGATATAGTGTGGGACCAATGTATTTCTCTCACTTCTCAGCAATTATTAATGAGGGAGAGAATTCCTGGAGGGCTTGGGTTTTGCTCAGCTCTACTACTGTTCTGCACTATTTGCTTTGTAACTGGAGAACACCACCTAGGAAGGGCCTGTGTTTAATGCATTTCATTGCACTTCTCGAAAGATGATTGTCTCAAGTTCACTGAAGAGGAAAGCAAAAAGAAAAGAAAATCACTTTAAGCAAAACCATAACAAAGTGAATGCTACTTTGTAGGTAGCAAATCTTTGAGTATTTTTTCTGTAGCAACTTAGTAGTGACTTTAATGTCAATACAATTTTAATAGGTGGCTATTAATAAAGCAAGCCCTGTATGCTTTCACTACAAAAAACACTTGCTGAAGGTGTTTTAGCTAAAAAGCGTATGTAGCATCTCCTGCTACTATGCAGTCACTTAATTTTCCCTGTGGAAACTCCTATCTTTGGTAGAAATCACCATTCTGAAATGCACAGGGAAATCGTAAGTGGTCTCTAGGTGAAGGTAATGATTTTATTTTGTAAAGGGGGAAAAAGTCAGCAGGTTTACAGTGTGACTAGGAGCTCAACATCAGCAACGTGGTTATGCTAATAAACATGTTGTGGGTAGCCTATTTGGCTATACTATTTGTAACAGATGAAATTACTGAATTTTCCTAGCATATCATAGAATCATTAAGGTTGGAAAAGACCTCTAAGATCATCGAGTCCAACCGTCAACCCAACACCACCATGCCCACTAAACCATGTCCCTAAGCGCCTCATCTACACGTCTTTTAAATACCTCCAGGGATGGTGACTCAACCACTTCCCTGGGCAGCCTGTTCCAAGGTTTAACCACTTGAGGCCATTTCCTCTCGTCCTTTCGCCAGTTACTTGGGAGAAGAGACCGACACCCACCTCGCTACAACCTCCTTTCAGGTAGTTGTAGAGAGCAATGAGGTCTCCCCTCAGCCTCCTTTTCTCCAGGCTAAACAACCCCAGCTCCCTCAGCCGCTCCTCATGAGACTTGTTCTCCAGACCCTTCACCAGCCTCGTTGCCCTTCTCTGGACACGCTCCAGCATCTCAACATCCTTCTTGTAGTGAGGGGCCCAAAACTGAACACAGTATTCGAGGTACGGCCTCACCAGTGCTGAGTACAGGGGAATGATCACTTCCTTCCATATTCCCTCCCCCAATATTGACAAGGTATTGGATAAATCTGAAAGTAACAGTAATAAATCAGGGGATGAGGCATCTAAGAAGGTTGAGAATTTTTTAAATTTATTTTGGTTCTTTAGGAAACGTTTATTTATTCAATTAGGCACCTAAAGGAAGGAATGCCAGCAAAAATGTGATCGTGCTGGGTGCTTTAGCAAAGGTATGGGACAGTGGTAGGAAAATAGTGGGGGATCATGAGGAAAAAGGAAACCACTGTGTCTCCACTCTTCTGACAGAAACAAGTAGTTCCTCATATTATCAAAAAACAACTATTGAGCCAAAACAGTTGTTGCCAACATCCCCCCAGCTCCAAAAGGTTGTTGCAGACTGTTACACCAGTACTGAATACTCTTGGTTCAGCACAGGGCCAGGTCCACCACAGGGGGTTGAAGGAGGCGGTTGCCCAGGGGCATCCATCGGGCAGGCCATGGCATTCTCCTGCTGTGGGCTTCGCTGCAGGGCCCATGTTCCCCCTCCATCTGCCCCACAAACCAGGGTCACTGCATCTGATCTTTTGCTTTCACATTTGACTTCAAGAGGTTATGTTGCAAGCTGCCGGATTTCCCTCTCTTCCTAAGGGCAGATATGGCAATGTTAGCCCACTCAAAAATTAGTGTCATTATACACACAAATAGTGGGGGAGATTCATGTCACACCTTTCTTTAATATTGAAGTCCTCTGCTGCTCAATTTTTATACTCTTCTAATGTAAGCATTTTAATTTAAAATACAGTAATGTCCCTAAGGAACTGTAGACTGCGAAACATAGAGACAATACAGAATAGTACAGTTTTGTATTTATATATTTGACTGGAAGCCATCTTAATTTCAAACACTTCTTCTCAGAAAAACAACCCTTCTTAATAGTTCATTTTAATGACATCTTCCAAAGACCATATTATCTTCCTTCTTTCCTAAAATGCTCTTTGTGGAGAAGCAAGTCAAAATTTGTTTGCTAGGGTTACTTTTCAGTTGGTTCATTATTAACAGGTGTACCATGTGTTTTTTAGAGGTGTATAATTTCCTGTTTGTAGTTTCTGATTTAATTAACTACATCTGCTTGAGGTTGAAACAGAATGATGTATATAAGCAACTTCTGCTTATAAGGTTTATAAGCCTGGCCATCTGCTGATCTTCGAGGCATGAAGCAGTCCCCATAGCTGTATCTCTGTAGTGATGCACGGCAACACTTCTGATATTCCAGGTACCCCTCCCTGTTGTATCTTGACTCCACGGGGTGGAAAACCCAGGCATATGGGCCAGAGGCAAGTTATGCTCTTGTGTTCTGGCCAGAGCTTCAGTCTGGGTGCCTGGGAGCGAGGACTGTAGGGTCTACTGTAGAGTCAA